GCAAACTGGCGACGTCAGTGACAACAGTGGCACCACAAGCCTAAGGAGGACTATGTTGAATTACAATTAGACGGTCACGGGATGGCACCTTGCCGTAGGAGCGCCTCTCAGGGTGTGAACACAATGTGTAAACTGGCCATGATCACAATTAAATAATTTTAGTGAGTGACGTACGGATACAGTAAGGATGTTTTGTAAGAGTTTCGGCTGCCCTATCTTGGGACATTCACCGGGCCGCAGAAGGAAGCAGTGCCTGACTATCGGGAGTCAATACCACGACAGGAGTAGGGTTTTCTTTTTCGCCACCAGGTCTAGACCGACTTTATGTAGTGGGTACCCATTAAAGAAAGAAAAGAAACAAGCTGAAGCTGTTTCCTCATTTGCATCTAGTGCAGGCAATCTGAACTTGTATTTCCGCATGGTGTGGCATTTACGCACAGAGAGAACTGTGTTCTGTAGGATTCAAACCTTGGTTAAGAGCTGGTTAGTAATAATGGTCTCTCCAACATTAAGATATACGCGTATGTTTGCGTGAAATATGACAGTGATTAATTTTATTTCTTCAGGAAAGAGGATATTGGGGAAATACTGTAGTTCGTGAGGATGGAAAGCAGGTGGAACTGGGCCAGGATCATTTTCAGTGTCAGTGTTGAAATTTCGGGTTTCCGTTTCTGTAACGTTACAAAGGCCATATTTCAGAAGTCAAGAGTTGAAATCTCGCCCGAATACCCAAGGATCTGAAGAGTACTGGGTTTCTCTTGTTGAATTTATTTGCAAAAGAACGATTTTCTAATGGAAAGGCAGTAATCGATGGTTGTATCATAAAACAAAACAAACTCCGTGGTTTTGGTCCGCAAGCGAACCATACCGACCGAGCGACCGCCGCTTGTCAGCCAAGTCAGTGCCAACTTTTGCCGATAGACGGGTGTCGCGTAGTCAGCGCAACGGATCCCCACGGCCTTTGATCTCGGTTTTCTAGACCGGAGCCGCTACTTTTCCACTCAGTTATCCTCACGAGGCTGAGAGGACCCCGTTCCAGACCCACTACTCAGCACCGGGAATCGAACCCGGACCTCTGGATCTGTAGGCAGGAACTCTGACCACTAGACCACAGAGGCGGTCACATTATATCGCTTCTTTATTTTAAAGTTTATTTTCAAATTGTAGTATTATTTGGCATGGAACGAGAAAGTATATGAAATAAAAAAGGAACCCTGAAGTCTACTTCATTGTAATCCCAAGAACTGAATAGTGTAACTCCCTTTGAATGACCAGTTGGGTTTTTTAATGGTGACAGGTCTCTGAAATAATTGGCACGTGAATCTGTATGAAATGTATGTAGGAAGATGTAAGCTTAGACGCAAGGGATGCTGTGAGAGGTCTAAGGGAAACGCGCTTTGAAGATGTGAATTGGGTTAAAATGGATACGAATAGGTTCAAGCAGTGTGATTTTGTGATTGCAGTGATGGACCTATGAGTTCCATAACAACTGGGAATTCTGTGACCAGCTGAACTTAACTGCACAGAGAAGACGAGAAACAGGCATGTTGGGGAAAGGATAGGTTGAGGTGCACATGCAAGACAGACCTATTTTTTCTTATTGCTAGTGGGTGGGATAAGTCCCTTGTACTGCGGCCACTTCTGGCCTATTGTACCAGCCTCAGATGATAGGTGAGGGTGATTGTGGAGCAACTGGTGGAATGAAGATTGGCAGGGGAAACCGAAGTACTCGGAGAAAACCTGCCCCAGTGCCACTTTGTCCAACACAAATCGCACTTGACCAGACCCGCGGTGGGAAGCCAGCGACTAACCGCTTGAGCTATGGTGCGGCCAAGACAGACCTAAGTGTTGGAGTAGCTTCACTCCTTTCTCCTCGATGTGGGATAATAACGACCCAAATCTCGGCTTGTTGCTTCTTTCCTCCTTGGTTACTTTCGCCGACTGCCCCGAGGAGCCAGAATAGCGCAGTTGGTAGAGAGATTGGCTACGGGCTGGAGTTCGAGCCCCAGTATGGTAAAGAATTTTCTCTTCTCCACTTCGTTCTGACCGGTTCTGGGGCCACCCAGCCTCCTATCCAATGAGTACCTGGGGCTCTTTCCCCGGGGGTAAATCGGCGTAGTGCTTAATTAGTTAATTACGGGGCAATTTCACCCTTTCATTACCCCGATTGGCGTGTCCTGTGATTTCTCTCAGCCCCCCCCCCCATTGCGTGGCCACTGTGATCATCGCAAACTTCTCTATGTTGTCATCATTACAGTACACACCACGAAACTATAATTTTAAAGAAGAAAGATGTTAATTGATGCCTGATCATCACGTAGCACTATTTGGCGCCTAATTAAAAATACACCAGTCACAGGTCCCTGTCAGTGACACTGCGGTTTTATTTATAAAGCTGTAGCCATCAGCCTGTTCCCTCGGTGCTTCAGTCGGTAACACACTGCATACCAATTGACACATCTATGCGCGCGGTCTTCCAAAGAAACAGTGACGATATCACGGGAATGGACAAAACATCTCATCGGAAGAAATAAATAGACCATACTATCGAACTTAAAAGTATTTTTTAAAGCCATCCACAAGGAAACGCGTAGACCAGTGGAATGCAACGTGTGGGCCGATACCCCGGGTTGTCGTACAGTTTCTTTTGCGTAAACACTAATATAGGACAGTTCAAGGAAATTACGATATTAAAGAGACATTTTATAATTTAAACGTAGTTTTTTTTTTAAGTGGTTACATATAGCCAAAATCAACAAGTGAGATTCGATTCGCGTCTTCGCATCTTCACAGGTTCCAAACCTGCTCTCAGGCCTGTCCAGCCTAATATCCAGTAGGTTGCCGGCCTTCTTTTGTCGGGAATAAATCCACAGGAACATGAAGCTGACCACTCACCTCTGTCAAATCCTGAGGTTAAAAATTCGTGGCTCTATGCTTCTACGCCTCCTTACATCTTCATGGATTGGTCCTTAATTAATTAAGCACACGAACAGTTTTACTATAATAATATGTTTAGTGTGAAACCCACGTCAGGCGTTGTTCACAAGATTTTTCTTTTCCCACATCACTCTTCCTCGGACGCGTGGCGTGTGCAAAGCTTCTTTTGACCAAGGTCGGCCGCGAACAGTCGCAAAATTTTGTTCGTTCGAAAAGAGAAGGAGGAGGGAAGAGAAGGCTTTTGCAACTGCTTCCTCCTCCCCATGCTCTTCGTCACAACATCTGAGCAAGGAATTCAAAACAAATTCCAGTACACATGTAACTCGCCCAAGGACCAGAAGAAACTGAAATTTAGGAATATAATTTAGAAGTCCTAAATGAGGTTTCGAATCACACTGCTTTCTTAAGGTGCGTCCACATTGCTCGTGCTCGCGCTCGCCAGGCTTGTGCTCGTCGGGTGACTCGTCTCGCTTTTACTTGTGCTCGGAAATCTTCGTCCACACTACTTCAGTTGCTCGCCAGGCTTCGGCGTGTGAGAATCCGTATATTTACTCGTAGTGTGTATAGGCTGTAGTCGTATTTTATTTTATTGGCTATAGTTTTTAAATTAAAATTTTAAAATTTGCTTGTCTCGTGACTTGTCATATCATCCACATTACTCGCGAACATAGGAAGTCACACGAGCACGAGCACGAGTAATGTGGACGCGCCTTTAGAATCATATTAGCTCCAGCTACCATACATATTTGTGTACAGTACACTTCATAATGTAATGCTGTATTGTAGCATCCTGTTGTACTACGTATGCTTTTTAAAGGCAAAAATAATACCGTCTAATGTGACTATTTAAGTTTTATCACTTGAGGATTTATCTCCCTTACATGTTTCGATCCTTACGGATCATCCTCAGAGGGTATCAATACTTCCGGAAACTACTATTAGAATAGATGTTAATTGTGTGGATACACATATGATATCTAAAATGCACAATATACGCAATGTTCAACCTTCCACATTCACAGTGGCCTTCTTGGTGTTAAAACTTTTTAAAAAAAGTTTGTTTTAAAAAACTTTCAAGATCAAGCTTAAAATTTATGAACCATGCAGGTTCGCGTCAATTCTCCTATTGTTATTCGTGGAGGTGGCTGGTCCTGTGCCGCCTGTTTATCTTGCGGAAGGAGATCCTTAATATTTCCGTGTTTATTCGTGGCCTGCTGTGTTCTTTTTTATTATTTTTATTATTATTGTATTCACTGCCAACTCACGTGCAACTCACACTAAAAGTTTTAAAATCCAAATTTGAAACTCTCAGTTGTTTCCAGTTGTATTTAACACGTCTACTGTACGGCATGTGCGACCATGATCAGGTGCAGTAAAATTGCTTCACTTGTACACACTGCACAATGTATGTAGGCTGTTCTCTGTTCGGTCTGCAATAGGAAACAAATGAACAGAATTTCAACAGGAGGACATCGGACTGAGATACGAGCCAATGAGACAGACAAGGAAGGAATGTGCTGGCTAAGGCCAGCAGAAATATACCCGACAGCCAGACTGAGAAACGAGTCTCGTCGACTGTGATTTGGAAGTGCTCTCGTAAAATTCAAGGAGGGTAATTTATTCGCTCATCTCTGTATTATCCCCAAAACTATTCAGTGGCTGTTGAGTTAGTTTTGTATTCGGAAGTAGCTGGGTCAACTTCGCTTGAATATAACTCTTATTGTATGCCAGTATTAAGCTCAGTTTGACCTCGTACACAGTACAAAAAGCGGCTCTTCGAATTTTATACGTGATATAAAGTATAGGTATATTTCATTCAGGTCTGCAACTTCTATTTGATTTTTTCCTTCAAAGTAGAATGTACATTTAATGAATGAAAGGGAAAACGTTTGATGTACGTTATAAGTCACAGCAATTCAGGCTCATGTCTACTTAACACAAAACTTTCCTTGATTTTGACCCACGCATAGCCCGGGTTCAGTGTGTGTCATGATAGATGATTGTTTCGTATGTTTCTTGTCCGGGATTGAGCAGGCTACTGTAGCATCCTGTTCTTCTTGCAGGCAAGCCCATGATTTCCGCTAGCGTGGTTGTGGAAGGTGGCGCTGGGGTGGCTCCGGCCTCTGGCAGACCAATGACTTTCGTCGAGCCCTTCCTGCTAAGCAACAAGACTTCTCCGCCGGAGTTCCTGCGCCCTCTGCCCAAAGCAGCACCCCTCGTGTCCCCACGCTACAACGGGTCAGCCCCGCCACTGAACGGATGTCGGGTGCCCCCTGGCCGCAAGTTTCCGCCTCAACCTGACGCGGCTGCAGTGAACTTTGTCAGCAAGGAGGAAGAGGACTCTCCATATCGAGGGTTGTACCCACCGCCTCCTAGCTACCACTACCCTGGGGGGCCGTACGGGGCACTATATCCCGGACATTACACCCCGCTGCTGCCCCCCTACAGCCCCTTACAGCCGTCTTGCAGCCCCCCTGTGAAACCTGGCCAGTCACTACTACGTCCCGGAAAGGAAGGGTCCCTGAAACACCGGATCCTGACACGACCTCCTGACCCTCCGAAACGGCACACGGTAGCCCCCCACAACACGAACTTTACCAAAGGGTCCCTGATACAGCTGGCCAGCGGTGAACTGCGGCGCGTAGAGGACATGCGCACTGAGGACTTCGTGAGTTCGGCGGAGAAGAGCCCGGCGCTACGGTTGGACCCTAGCACCGTGGTGCGGATACAGGAGGGGTCCGGGGGCACGGCCCGACTCACCCTGAGCTACGGCGAACACAGTACTCAGGTAGGCGGTCACCTCTCCACATCTTCACATCTGCTTACTATATCCCGCGCGGCTTGGACGGGTCCCCACCTTGCCAAAATGCGCAACTTTGTTGCAAAGTATGGAGTCCCTAATTTAGCAACCGTCCCCACCCTCCTGCTTTTTCTCTCGTCTTGGCGCAACTACACAAATTGCCTGACATCCCCGAGAATAGTTCTTCGTGTGACTGTTCGAGAGTCGGCGCCAAAGCACAGGCCTGTTCATTTCTGCTGATATTTGGTTCATATCGTGACTGTTGATTGCAGTAATCTAAACGTGTTGAATATCGGTTCTCGTCACGGTGTCTCGAAATGTAGTGTTGTTAACTTCGACGAGATTTTGACAAAGTTGATTTGTTTTCGACTGAGGGTAAGAAGGCGGTGTTTCTCGTCGCCTGGGGGTGTAATTTGGGCTTGCGCCATCTCTGGTGTAGTAAACAGCTTCATTCGCGTAATAATTATTAAATGAAATACTAATATAGCAGGTTTGCGCTACAAAATTGGCATTTAATAAATTATTATCGCCGAAATAATGATACAATATATGAAGCTAATTTAGAAGGCCTATGCGTATATTTGACAAATATCAGGTACAAGCAGTTGCATAAATTTATACCTGTACCTGGATATGTTGAGGAGAAGTATGGGTTGTTTGCATGCCTTTTATGACACGAAACATACTTATGATTTATACAGCAATTAAGGACTACATACACAGGTTGGATGAAAGATACGAGAATTTCGTATAAGATTTCGGTGTGGCAGCCTCTTGTAAAGCAGTCACATTGAAGACAGCGCAAATAAGATGAAATTAAAATACTTTATATAGATGTAAGCTCTAAGCTGTATTAATCTGGACCATGAGCTTGTCCAATAGCGGGCTTTGGCATAAGTAGCAGACATTTTAAAGGTTCAGCTCCTCCTGCCGGAGAACTAGGCGTATGAAAGAGAAATGTCTTCAGTTTAGAAATGGCAACTAATATGAAAATTCCGTGTATCAGAACACACACAAATAATGAATTTATGAAGCACAGATCGCAGGGAGGACTAATGAGTGAAGACTAAGACCAGTTGAAATGTGTTTCGTGAGGCAGCATCTTATACAGCATTCTAAGCAACAAACCAAAGAAAGTGCGCATGCAAAAGAGTCGAGTAAAGACACTGCTAACCGTTTTCTTCGAATCCAAAGGAATCATTCACAAGGAATTTCTGCCAGAAGGTCAAACAGTGGATTCTGATTACTATCTCGGAGTCCTCAGCCATTTGTGGGCGAGAATTCTTCGAATTCGACCTTAATACCGAGAGCAAGGTTCCTGGACGCTCCTCCACGACAATGCCCCACCCCACAAATCGAAGATGGTGCGGGATTTTTGGGCCAGAAAAAGGATCACAGTCTTCGATCATCCTCCGTATTCGCCAGATTTGGCTCCAGCAGATTTCTGGTCGTTCCCAAAAGTTAAGTTGGCGATGAAAGGAGACCGTCACACCATCCAGGACATCCAAAGGGAATGTACCCCAGTACAGGAGTACAGTGACTGTTTTCGAAAACTTTTCAATCGATTCAAGCTATGTATTGATTCAGAAGGAGACTATTTTGAATAATAAGAAGAGTGAAATTTTGAAAATAATTCACATCTTGTATTTTTAATAAACACAGTCCTAACAGAACCTGGACCCACTGTGTATATTCAGTTAACTGAAAATGTAAGACAAGACGAAAGATACTGTGGCGTATAGACCCGTTGCTAGGTAAAGACCTCGAATCAAACAACGAGTACAGCTGTTGCTACGAAATAGGCGAATAAGCAGCCACTTCTGAGCAACGACTCGGTAGACACGTTCCCGCGGTAAAGTTATCCGGGCTATCGCTAGGGAGCCGCCCATAACAACAATAGGATGCGGTTTTTTATTGTTGGGTCCGTCCCGAGGCCATACAGCGAGAACCCCAGGTCGTCTGTGAGTTCAATTGCGGGATATTCGCCGGACAGTAACGACGTGAGCGCGGGCAGCTGAAAAAACTCCACTGTTAGAAGCCGTTGCTAGGGAACCGCTGTTGGAGACACAGCGGGCTTGGTTCTGTGGTGATTTGCAAAGTGTGGTGATTAGCGATAGCGCTGTAATTACTTGTATTTCCAAGTGGTGTGTAATAGTGGTCAATCTAATTCACCAATCCAACCCCGTCTATAGTCACACTCATAAATTGTGACATTACATTAGGGGCCGTACTAAAGTAATACTGTAAAAATACATATAGGCCTACACAAGTTACTTTTGAAGTATAATTAATCGATTTTGCAGTGAGCTGTAATATTCAGTGACCACAAAGGAGCTGACTGTCTGTAACACAGGAGGGAATGCCAGCTTTGAAGGAGCTGCTAGTTGCATGTGTTCCCAGATACCATAGCTACTTAGGCCGAATGTTTACTTCAGAACAACACGTCAGGTTCTTGGTTCTGTCTCTCATTACAGCAACTTTGTTTGTGACCGAGAAGACTAATTTCATTTGCATGGACGTCTGACTCACGTTCGGAGGATGTCCGGTTCCACTGATGGCTACGGACGGGCTGTTCTGATGTTTTCATGGCTTGCCTCCGTACCCCTGCTTGAATGTAGGAATAGATTAATTAATTTTACGCAAATCCTGAGTTACCAATGATAATCGTATCTCACCTATACTCTGCGCGTTACAGCTCAGAAAATAACCACATAAACAATTGAAATTTATCCAAAGGTGGAAGACATGAGCAGTGTTTTTTTTTTAATTTCTTGTGGTTTGGAAATTAGGAGAGCATGTAAGTGCGAAGAAATGTGTGGGCCTGAGAGAGGTGACATAATGGGACGGAGAGAACTGTGGGAAGGGGCACATGGATGGTTGGAAAACTACGAAGGACAAGATTGTGTCAAACTTACTTATAATACTTATAAATACGAGTACTACTTAAATATATCGTTTCTGAGAAGTGAAGTGGATTGAACTGGCGTAAAGAATGTTCAGCACGGTGATGAAGCGTACTATAGGGATAAGAGAGTACTATATAAGCAAGGAATGTCTTAACCAGGTGCCCAGGAAAGACTGCCATGGAGCTAGTCGGTTTTTAATTCGTTGGTTGCTTTTTTGCTGCATAGTTTCTCGGTTGGATGTTTACTTTGTTCGCTGGTTATTTTTTCGGTTGTTGTTGATTATTAGTTACGTTGTTGGTTGGTTGGTTAGTTAGTTATTCTTGTTCTTTCTGCCATATCGAAGATAAAACGACACAACGAATACAATTTTCCCCATGCCTGAGCCAGCGTCGTTTGAGAACGCAATATGGACGTAAACCTCCTATAGGGAAAAGCGTTCAGTTCTAGGACAACAAACTGAGGACCACAGGTAGTCAGTTGCATGTAAAATCTCCTGGATAGACACGGACCTCTGAAGAAAACGTCAATCGCATTAGAGAGGCATTCCAGTGGTCCGCGTAAATCAATTCGTGCCGCTAGCTTGCAGTTACATACAAATTCCACGTTCAACAGTGCACGATGCGCTGCACAAAAGGCTCCGCCCAAGGATGTACGAGATACACATGATTCAAGCAGTAAAACCGAGTGACCAAGTAGCACGCACAAACTTCGCTGTGGACATGCTGGGAAGAACTGATGCGTCACCCGATTTCCTGCGCCAAGTGCACTTCTCGGACGAGGCGACGTTCCATGTCACTGGAGTTGTAAACAGGGACAACTGCAGGATTTGGGGCAGTTGGAGAGATCAGCCCCAAAGTGAACGTGTGGGCCGGCTTAATGCACGACAAGTTAATTGGACCGTTTTTCTTTCCGGAAAAGACTGTGACTGGACGTTTGTACTTGGACATGCTGGAGCTGTATTCGCTGCCCCAATTGCCACCTCAGACTATCCTGCAACAAGATGGGGCGCCGCCATGTTAGGAATCACCTGAACAGAGAAATGGCTGGGAGATGGGTAGGCAAGGTGGACCCATCGCTTGGCCTCCTAGGTCGCCAGATTTAACCCCATTTGATTTTGTCTTGTGGGGTTATGTGAGGAACATTGTCTACCAGGTTAAGATAATGACCCCCAACACCTGAAAGACCACATAAGGGACATGCGGCTACGGTAACACCAAACACGCTTTAAGCAACGTGGAGCGAGGTCCAGTATCGTCTGGATATTTGTCGTGCCACCAGAGGGGGCCCACATGGAAATTTATTGCGAAAGTTAAAAAATCCCAAAAGAATTTTGATAGTTTCCCTTTGTAATAGGGGCACGCGGCAGCGTGGTTGAGGCACTATGCTACAAGCCGGAAGGCCGCGGGTTCGAGTCCCGCACTATGGCCCTGGGGTTGGCTCAGCCTCTAACAGGAATGAGTACCAGGAATCTTCCTTGGGGTAAAGGGCGGCCGGCGCATAAGGCTGACAATCTTACCGCCATCTGTGAGTCTGTTGTCTGGAGAAAATGTTGGAGCCTCGAAACCTGTGAGCCTTCATGGCCTGTTACAGGGATAGCTTTACCTTTTTTGCCCTTTGTAATGGTGTAACCCTTAATGTGTATAATAAATGCTTTCTGAGATATAATTATTTTATTCTGGATACCGTTCACCCGGACACCCTGTATTGTATATTTCTTTAGCAAATACGATTCCCACAATTGTGCTATTGCTAAACAGAACTTACTGTCACAGTAATCTCTACCGTAAAGTCGGACACCACTTATAGTTAATAATAGTCGTTTATGAATCAGGGTACTTTTCAGGTAACTTCCTGGTCGATATCACTTATCGTATCGTAGATATCGATATCTTCGTTGTGACATGTACAACGGATTAAGATGACGTAATCGAATTATCTAGGCATGTTTATGTGTCAGGATTCTTCGGAATGGGCAGACAATAAATGCACTCAGAATTTTTGTGAAGAAACTTCTTGGAACATAGATGAGTTTCAAGTAGACTTTATTGTAATAAGTTATGACGATGTGACATGGATGGAAGT